ATTTGTTACTTGAGGGAGACCTAAAATGGCTAAAACCATGCAAAACAATGTGGCATAGAAAAACTTTATAATCTTGAAGCTACAGAAGGCTATTTAGACTTTCAACGTTAACTTGGAAGGCTTATACGCAAGGAGAAGAGAAGTATAAACCTGACTCTAGTACCAATTGACGCAGAATGGGTAGGCAAAAGAAAGAAGAAGGAGAATATAGAAGAAGAGTGAGGTAAAGAGAAGGGGAAGGGAGACACTAGAGGGGGAAGACAACAAGAAAGGAGGGAGAAATTAGAAGAATAAAAGGGAAAGAGAACTCAAAGGAGAAGAAACTCAATAATATATTTATTCAAATAATAACACATACGAAGAAAATGAGTTGAGAGTCTATTTCACTAGTATTAAAAAAAAATTTAACGGCGGTTAAAATGAACTTTTTACGATGGTTTTGAGAGCGACTTCTATGCCATCAATGTAAAATGTAGAGGATTTCACAACGATTATGTAAATAACCACCGTGAAAAGTTTTTTTTTTTTTTTAGTCTATGTTTCACCTTATTGATAAGGATGGAATGAGAGAACAAAGCCTCAAAGGAAGGGGTCTGAAAATCAAAACCAATAATCTCTCACTAGTTAAAAGCATTCTGATGGAGCAAACGTAGATTCTTTCCCACCGTAATAACGCTACTTAGGTTCACCTTCAACCATCAGATCGAAGCTACTAAGATTTAATAAAGATAAAATCAAAGACTCAGATCTGATAAAAATCAAATCTCTTTAAACTCATATTAAACATCATATTTTTAACCAAAAAAATAATTATATCAAACCACAAAAACTATGAAATCTAAAGAAAGAATGGAGGTGAAAAACTCACAAATAAGAAAGAAGAGGATGAGGCGATGGCGACGGTAACAATGACAGTGATAGTGATGGAAGAACATATAAACGCCGACAAAGGTAGGAGGAGGGAGAAAATTGAGTAAGGATGGTAATGGGGGACTATGAGCTCTGACTCTGAAAAGTAAAAACTATTGCGTGATGGATTTTAAAATTCTGATAAGACTTTTTACGGCAGTTTTTTAAATAACCGCCTTTAAAAGTATGCCTATAATTCCAGAAATGCCACCGTCATATTTTTTATAGTGTTTTTTTTTTATAACCGCCGTAAATTAGCGTTATGAAAGCTTGTTTTGTAGTAGTAGTGTTTACAAGCCTCAACCTAACCCTAAAAATTAAATGTATAATATTCTAGAAATCCTAAAATTAAATGAAAATGATAGCTGATGGTAAAAGATGACATTCAATCAAAATAAAACTAAATTTTCCTAATAATTAAAAATATTTAAAATATAAAAAATTCCAATTAATCATTACTCCATACCCCATGACATATACATGTATATATTTATCTATCATTTTCTAACCATCTGATGAAACCAGACACACAATCCAGCAGTTCACCCTTTTTTTTTTTTCTTTTCAACATAAACAAGAAACTTCACAACCCAATGATCCCGTTGCTACCACCAAAGCATGAAATTATGGGCTTTGAAACTTAATCAGCCAAGAATCATTATAATATCACTCTTAAACTACATTCAAAACAGCCGCAACAATATATATATATATATATATATATATCGGTTCAATTCTTTCCCCCTTATCTTCATGAATTCGAGCCCCATGTACCAAAACCCTCATTTCTAGCTCTAGGACTGAACAATAGAACCAAAACTCACATGCAATCATTATCATCAACATGCAGCAACATTTATTACCTGCCAGACTCAAATTGAATGCCATGATTATAAAAGAACCCAGACTCTGTTTCGCCAAGGACAAAACAGAGCAAAAGTCCACATGCAACCCATTCAACACACTCCACAAGCATTGGCCCATTTTCATCTCAAACTTGCGACTTTCACCTCTACTTTTTGGCAACCAGAACAGAGAAGAAAAACAACACATGCAAGCTAGAAAATCAGCATGTAATAGAACCAAACACACGTGCATATCTTCCTTATTTCCCATTTTTTCATTTTTCACACGTGCATATCTTCCTTATTTCCCATTTTTTCTTTTTTCTCTCTAACTTTCAGATCTTTCATTATCCCAAATACACTCCATATGCAGAAATCAAGAGTAGAATGATGTCAAAAGAGCTTACCTCAGCTCAAAACTAATCTTGCATGCGAGATTGTTCCCATGGAACCACTCTTCGACGTTGACTCCCTCTCTCGCGTTCCTCTCTTCTTTTTACTTTGAGCAGCAGCAAACAAATGAGAATGGGAGGAGTGAATCAGATGGTTAAAAGGCCGGGCACACGTGTGAAGTGTGGCAGTGAAATTCCTGGACCCATTTGCCCCTCTATATTTCTTATTTCTTATTCCATCCTTCGCTTAAATTTCTTGAAATTAAAGAGTGAATCCAAAAATTAATCCATAGTATTTTATATGAATTTTCCTCATCCAATAACTTTATTGACCCTTAAAATAATTCCCATAAAAATTTTGGGTAAAAAATCATCTCCAAGCTTCTTCTTTTTTAAAAAAAAAAAATTTCCACGGAAATAACCATTAACTCTAGAAATTAATCCTTAACCCATTTTAATAATTTTATATCTCAAATGGCTTCTTTATCACTTAAAAAATAATTTTCCTAAAATTTCCAAATGAATTAGAAACGTTTAAATTTTTTTTTTAGAATTTTCTAAGAAATTAATCCATTTTTGCACTAAAAATAGTTTTAAAGTTATTTAAACCACTTTTTGGGAAATAAACATTTTCATAAAATTTCTAAGTACTTAAAACTAATATTTCATAATTTTTTCCAATTTACATTCAAAGAGATAAATAATACTACCTCCGATCCTTAATATAAGACCTTGTTTGACTTTTATTTTGATCCTAAATATAAGATCCTAATCTACTTTGTCTCCCATATTTATGCATTTTTGTCCAAAGTAGTTCTTCTAATAATGGTAGTTCTAGCTAATACATTTGATTAGCAAAGATATTTTAGGAAAGACAACATCTATTTATGACAAATAACTAACTTAGCTTGTTTTCTTAATCTCCTTAAATTAGTTAACTAACTCTTATAATTACGACTGGAGATAGTAGAACGTATGGGGCTGAACTGTGTACGTCCTCGATCGTGCGTTCGTCTCAAGAACTAGATGTTAGCTACCTTACCTTGGAATTTATTCCAAAGTTCTCGTTGAAAATAGTTCTCTTTTTTTCTAGATTGGTCCGCTTGGTTTGTATGAACCTTCCAAAATGTCATGTGAATCCGGTGTGCTTACTTTTGTGGAGAGCGAAAGAAGACACTGCCATCAAGAACTCGGTCAAACTTTTATTTTGCGAGTTTCAAAATTAAAAAATATATATAAAGTTTTTTTTTTTTAATTTTTCCCAATGAAAAAAGTTTAAGTGATTTGAGTCAATAAGTTTGCTGTCGGCGTTGAAATATGCCTTCAAGCCTTATACATGTATTTACAAATTATTTATCAACAAAGTTCTTATATGACTTAAAAAATTAATTAAATTTATCACTTTGTAAGATATGAGACAAGTCACACTGTTTTATTTATAGAAAAAATCACACCAAGTTTAGAGATGCATGCATTTTTTTTCAAATAAAATGTTTAGTGGACGAAATTTATCATATTTACAAAAAAAATATACTTTTAACATAACAAATTTTTTATTACTCGTCCGATCCTTAATATAGAACCTAATTATTGAATTGGTTTTGGTTTTAAATATAAAACCTATTTTTTATATTTATCATTTTTTTTCTAAACTAACCTTATAGATACTTTCTCAACCATAATCAAGTAGAAGATGAAGAGAGGATCTTAAGAAAGATGATTATAGTGTTTTAGGAAAAGCATGTCATATTTCTTATAATTAACTAACTTACCTAACTTTCTTAATCTAATCAAATTAGTTAAATAAATTTTATATTAAGTACCGAAAGTGTAATATATAATCTATATGAATAGCCGTAACGGGCGTGGACCCAACAATAACAGGACATCTAGCTTCAACGCCATATGCTCAAACTTCTTCAAATATACAGTCAGCAGCAAGATGAAAACTCACTCTGTCTTATAATTGGACCTGTTCACAAGTACAAATAACATTTTTCTTTCCATAAAGGTTCCATTTGTCTCGTAATTTGAACGTCTGTTCGTAGTCATTGTCCCGCTAGTTTCCTTATTCAGAAATCTTAGTTGTCTCTTGCTTAATTACGTGCTATACCTTCTTTTGTTTTTCTTAGTACTAAAAAATAGTGACAACTGGATCATAAAGTTAAATGGTACTTAGTAGTACGTACGACTCAAATTACATACAAGCATATTAACAAATGGACCTAATTAACATGCATCTTGCTGCAATTCCATGCATAAGCGCCCACACGTATCCAATTGTGCAGCTAGCTAGGTCCCGGCTGACCTTAAAAAAGCTACAATTAGACCTGTGCCTGTGAACAGGCAACCTTTTCTTCTAAAAAGTTCTACTCGTCTCGTTCGAACTTCCTTTAATTTCAAAGCAGCTGTCCAGCTTCTTCCTTGGAAAAAAAAAATGTAATTCTCATTTGCTTAATTGTGGTATTAAAAAAATTTTGTTATTTGACTGCATCACGTTAATTTCCAAATACAAATAGAAACAGGCATACAATTCGACGTTTCACAATAAAAGAAGCATAAAAAATTGCAGCAATTCTGCTGTCGTGCTTAATTAATTGTTAAAAGCACTACATTTCTTACGAATTTCTCCAGCATTACCAACCAGAACTTGAATTCTACCCATCTTGACCATTGCATCAGCGAAGCTTTGCTGAAACTGAGCAGTGTCAGATGCAACGGCAGTGACAATACTTTTGTTGACGTAGAAACAGCAAGGTTTTGATCAACGGATAGAACGCCATTTTTTTTTTTTTTGAAGAATTTGCTTTTAGTACCGGTTATCCATTATGAATGGCGCTTGGTGTCCAAAAATCTACCAAACGCCTTTCTCACCGTGTTTCCACCCATAAGGCTCACCATGTCTTGTCGTCCGATTCCCTTCCTGGCAAAGAAATCCAAGATTCTGCACTGAGATACCTGGTCCTGACAAAGCAACCTCCCTGCTTCTAGAGACGAGCCCGTCACGTCGCCCGGTGTGAACCTCATATTTGGGTCCTCCGGCCAGAGCCACGGCGTCTCTGGTGGCTAGTGTTATGATATCAGCACATGACACCGTGGAAGGGCACGCTGCTTCAAGCCTTTCCTTCACCTTGTCGATGAAATCAAATCCTCGTACTCTTGCACCAGCGTCTTTCTCCGCCTCAGTGGAGTTTATCAGTAACGATGCATCGCAACCCTGCGATTCATGTTATTAATCAGTTAGCCAGAATAGTCAGCGAACTAGTCTCGGTACTTATCACTATGATGAGCACTCCAAACTCATCAAATTTAAATCATTCATATCTCATGATCCAGATTTAATTTTTTTTTATTCAAAATAATTATTTTAATATATATAAAATCTAAAATAGGATAATATCTTAATTGTCATTCTTTTAAAAAATAGTTTTTTATTTAGAAATAATTAATTAAAGATTTTAAATTTAGACTATCTAAATGAGATATAGACGGCCCAAATCTGATGAGTTCAGGATGCTCATTAAAATGATAAGCATTAAAACTGGTTCTGAATAATTAGTAAGATGCGGAATGATCACTCAAATTTTTAAACAGGTAATTAAAATATGGAATTAATGCTCACTCTTAACCTTATCCAATAATTTTAAGACTAGTAATTTCCATTTCCACCCTCCCCTCTCTCCATATTTTGTTCCCACAATTTATAACATCTTTCAAACAAACTCAATAAAATGAGATACATATCCCCATGCTCTGTGTGGCTTTTTATTGACCACTACAATAAGATGTACCAACAATGACAATCCAAGTCTAATCATGCACAAGGTAAACTTCAACGTAAAATTTAAAATATATTTATCTTCGAAGATTTTACATAGTATACGACACTTGTATATGGGAACTGTGATTATGGGGTGTTTGGTATTTTAAAAAAAATATTTTTAAAAATTATATATTTTTAAAATCAAAATAAATTCTTTCATATATTTATTTCATATGCTATAAGATTATTTTTAAAATCATTTAGCTAATTTTGTAAAGCAGGAGGGTTTTTTTGTTTTGATACCATAAGACCGAGAGGCGGTGGTACGGTCTCCCTTGCGGGCCGAGCCACTTTAATTAATTCTGTAACGTCAGCAATGCCAGGATATACCATGCAAACCGCATCACTACCCACATCTACTTGTAATGAGATTGAACAGCTTAATCGAAACTTCCTATGGGGTTCCACGACAGAGAAACGACGAGCACACTTGGTGGCGTGGGAGAACGTTTGCAGGACCAAGGATAATGGAGGGTTGGGTTTCAAAAGAATGAAGGCACAAAACTTGGCTTATATGGCTAAGCTCGGATGGAACCTCATAAAGAAACCGAATGACCTATGGGTACGGGTGATACGCACCAAATATAAATGTGGAGACGACTTACTTCCAACAATAAATCAAGCTCGACCTGGATCGAATACCTGGTCGGGAATTAAAGCAGCATGGCGTTTTGTGGAAGATGGATGCATTTTGAATCCCTCGACTGGCAGTGTTAGATGGAAGCATGATAAACATGGCGCCTTCACCGTCCGAAGTGCTTATAGCGTGATCAATAATGAACAAGAAGATAGACAGATAGCTTGGCAACGAGTGTGGAAAATTGACACAATACAGAGATGTAGATCCTTCCTCTGGCTAGCCTTGCAGAATAAGCTGCTGACCAACGAGGAGCGTTCTCGCAGGGGAATGACAAATGACACCCTGTGCACGTGGTGCAACTGCTTCTCGGAGTCTACTATTCACGTGTTGCGTGATTGCAGAGAGACCAAACAGCTGTGGACTACGTTAATACCCCCAGCCATACACAGGAGCTTCTTCGAGGGAAACTTAACATCGTGGATACAGGAGAACACTCGGAAGAAGTGCCCACATAGAAGTGAGGAATGGAGCAGCTTATTCACGACGATATGCTGGCTAATATGGAAACGACGCAACCTCCGAATCTTCGAACAGAAGCATACAAGCAATGAGGCTTTGATAACTAAAGCCAGAATAATAATACAGAGCATTGCCCGAACGCGTCAGAAACTTGCAGGCACGAAAATCAACGGGCACCAAGTGAGTGACCGACGTGCAGGATGGTCAGCACCCAGTGAGGGTTGGAAGAAACTTAACGTGGATGGAGCTTGGTCGCTGAGTACGGGTACTGGCAGCGGTGGCCTGCTACGAGACGAAGCTGGTGTGTTCATATCAGGCTTCATGTTTCATATCGAAGGAGGTAACAGTACACATGCAGAATTATGGGCTCTACTGCTTGGCCTGAAAATGGCATGGGATAGAGGAGAAAGACGAATCATCGCAGAAACTGATGCATTTGAGGTGGTACAGTTACTTAGCAGGGATGACACTAGCGACCACCCCTATGCCGGACTCCTAACGGAGATCAAAGCTCTCCTGAAGCGGAACTGGGAACTCGAGATAACCCATATCAGTAGAAACGCGAACGCCGCTGCGGATGTTCTCGCGAAGATGGCCCTAAATACTACTTGGGGATACCACCCAATGGAAACACCCATAATGGAGATTACAAATGTCCTGCATGAAGACATAAGGCAACACCTCGGATCTTAGCTGGAGGGTTTCCCTCTCTACATGTATCAAAAAAAAAAAAAAAGAGAGGCGGTGGTACGGTACCTGAGGTAAGGCCCACAGTGGGCCTAAAAGTACGTGGAGCGAGAATTGGGTTCTTTCCCACGTGGATAGTGACGTGGTTCTAGGGGGGCCAGACTGTAGCAGGGTGGCCCCACCTTGCCCTCTCGTGGACCCCACCCACTTCCAAATCCTTACCGTTCTGTTCCTCTTTCGTTTTCTGCTAATTTCTGATTAAGTACCAACGTTCCGTACTTTTGTCTCAGCATCTTTTTTTTGGAAAAATTGCAACTACGTCCCATCTAAGGGAATTAAATATAAAAAATCTCTTAAAACTATGAAATTATTCTAAAATCCTAATAGACCTTTTTGTAATAAATTTTATTTTTTTAATTAGTAAATTACCCTTTATTTTTTTAAAGTTTACATTGACAACTAAAAAAGCAGTGATTGACAACTCAAGATGCAAGGATTGACAACTATCGCTACTGGTTTGACAACTTAGGGTGTGATATGCTGAGAAAATGTGTTGTCAAACCAGCCGCAATAATTGTCAATCCTTACATCCTAAGTTGTCAACAACTGCTTTTTCAGTTGTCAATGCAAACTTTGAGAAAATATGTTATCAAACTAGTCGTGATAGTTGTCAATCATTACATCCTGAGTTGTCAACTACTGCTTTTTCAATTGTCAATGCAAACTTAAAAAAAAAAAAAAGAAGGATAATTTGGTAACTAAACAAATAAAATTTATTCCAAAAAGGTTTCTTAGGATTTCAGAATAATTTCATGATTTTAAGAAACCTTCTTACATTTAATTCTCTTAGGTGAAATCTAATTGCAATTCTCCCTTTTTTTTCCCCTCATTCCCGCTAAGTGCAGTTTAAGGAGTCCACCGATTAAAACCTGTACGACGTAAATATGGGCAGTAGCCATGGTTTTGTACTGTAGTGTACGAAAAGGAAAGCAAGTGGGTTAGACAATTCAAAAGCATTGAGACATTCTTTATCTTTTTTGGCAAACAGGTAAGATAAGATAAGCGAACTGAAATGATTAGAAAAGACAAAAATCAAAAGTCAGCTTGTTCAATGTCACGGTTAGGTGTTACTCCACGAATTTTAATATAAAACTTATTTAACTAATTTGATTAGATTAAAAAAATTAAAAAAATTAGTTAATTATAAAAAATATGAAATATTTTTTCTAAAATACTATAATTGTAACATACTATTTTTTTTAAAAAAATTACAAATAAAAAAAATATATAATATTTTTATTATTTTTTTAAAAAAAAACCACCACTTTTTCCCACCGACAGTAGAAAAAGGAACGGGGGTTATTAATGAACATAGGAAAAAAAAAAAAAAAAGGAGGGAGGCGTGGCTGAAGAAATAGGATGAGGTGTAGTAAATGAAAGCTGAAAAAGAGGAGGAATATTAAATGAAGAAGGAAGAAATGGAGAGTGGGTGGTGGTTGGAGGATGAGGAAAATAGAATAAAAGGGAGTGGAGAGACCGAAGAGAGGGAGAGAATGAAAGAGAGAGAGTGGGAGAAGAGAAGGAAAGAGTGAGAAGAGCTGCTGAAAGTTAGAATAAATTTTAAGGATCATTTAGGTACACAAAACTATATCTTTTTATCATATTTTTTATAAATATTTTCTATATATTTAGAGTTTTATATTATTAGCTTTATTATCATATTTAGAGAAAATTTTACTGTTTTGGTATAGAGTAAATAAGGAGTTTTGACAATGTATGACGGTAAAAATTTAAAGATACATTATTAATAAATTTTAATTTGTTTATATTTACTCAATGACTATTTTGAGAATTTAAATTAAGATTTTAGTTGAAAAATTTGTTATTAGAAGATATAGAATATTTTTACCGATTAAATTTAAGTAAAATAATTTATTTGAGTTATTTAATATATTATTGAGGTTTTAATCGGTTTAAATATTGAATAAGTTAAAGATATATTTTTGAAATAATTTTTGAAGGCTTGAAAAATTGTAAATTGAGAATTTTGTGAAATTAGATAAAGCAACAGTTTGTTTATAATTTAAAAAGAAGTTGTTTGGTTTGAGGAAAAATTTTAAAGGAGACTATAATAAATAATTCAGAATTTTAATATAAAATATTTAGATTTTGTGTAATAAAAATATATTTACTTAAGTTGTTAAATTTAAATAGCCTTATATGTAAATTATATTTTTCAAAATAATATTATATCTATTATAAATGCCTAGATTTGGGAGAGTTAATATATTTATGTAATTTTGGTTTAGAGGGTAGTCTTAGAATTTTAGAGTAGTTTTGGAGTAGTTGAGTTTATATTAATAAATATTTATGTGCAATTTTGTAGATTCTTAAGAATTTTAGAGTAATCTTTGAGTGAATATTTGTAAGCTAAAGAGTACTAGGTAACTCTGAAAATTCTTTCTCATACATGTGAATTGTGTATGATTATATTGTGGATTTACTAATTTTTATATTACTCAAATATAATATTATGATTTTTTAAAAAAATAAATGTTTTGGTATGTTACCTGATTTTATTAAGATTTGTTGCTAGTAATTATGACCAATATGTAAATATATTAATAGTTATGAAATTATCATGAGTTGCTATTAAATGGTATATGAATTTTATTGCTATCTTATTTTTAATAATATATTTGGGAATATTTATGATGTACCATTATTTGTATATGACATGCATTGTTGGGTTAAGGATAGAAGGAGATTGTATGGATATAAAATTACCACGTGGTATGCCCTCACTCGGTGCATAATGGATGGCACTTGTCAGGGCCCCTTCTTCCATGTTTTCCTTTGGCCGGGAATTCATTGGAGCTATGGGACATGTGACACCTTCCTATTCACAAAGGAGGGGAGCCATAATCCGAGCTTGAGCTCTATATCTTTGGCCGAATATATCTCTAGTATCGGTGAGCTTGGAATAATTCAGTAAAATGAATTAGTTCCTGTCGGACTATGTGTTAGCCTATGGCTTCAATCAGCGGTATAAGGGTAGACAGTGATATAAGGGAGGTAGCATATTGCATTATTTTTGGATATATTAAAAAAATGAAATTGAATTAAATGTATCAAATCTGTGATTTTTAATATATACATATATACATACATATGAACAGATTTTTGGGTTATCATATATGGTTTGCTTGTATAGGTTAGAATTTCAGTAGTTACTGAGATGTTTGATCTCACCCCCTATATTAACAATTTTCAAGCGAAGGATCTAGTAGGAATCAAGAGAAGGCACCAATGGAGTGAGCCGTGAAGGCTTTTGTGCTTCTCAAGCACATACTATGTTATATTTTTATTTGCCATGACTATAAGACTTTAATAGTTTATTTTGTTGTTGTGTTAGAAACATTTTGAAATTAGGACTTGTTTGGAGTATTAGTAACGTATGGATTTTATATGAAATATTTTATCGAATATATGATATAATTATGAGAGGTGTTACAATAATCATCTTTTTTAATATCCTTCCCCTATC